TAGCAGGTGGAATAATACGGCCCTATTCCTCAGTCTTGCACAGCATGCCTACGCACACTGGGGTCAAGCTGATGTTACTGCCACTGCCAAAGCCAAAGAGAATACAGTATAGGATGGTCAAGCCGAGGACGGCAGTCTTGCTGCCTTCCGCGTCATCAGACGAAGACAGGACAGTCGCTGGCAGCCATAGTGCCATTGTTGAGACCATGCAGAGAGACAAGGAAGCGAGCACGGCGTTGAATCTTCCTACTTTATCAGCAAGCAATCCCGGCAACCACCTGCCAAAAGTAGAGCCGGCATTGAGAAGAGCGACGATTTGGTACGCGAACGTGGTTGACATGGCTCCCGAGCTGAGGGAGTATGCCGTTACGTAAGAGATGGGAGCGAAAAGACCCCACTCCATGAAGAAAGTGCCAATTGTGACGAGCGCAAAATCGACGTTTCGGAGGATCCTGAAGTCTGGCATGATATTGGCGTCGGGCTTTGGTGGCAAGCGTGATCGCACCAGTAGATTGGTGACTATCAGAAGCAGGAGGAAAATGAACGCCTGCACACGTGTTGCCCAGCCCCAGCCGACCTTCGGAAAGAGATTTTGAAGCATGAGCGGAAATATCACACCTCCAAGTGAACCGCCTGCAGCCGCAAGACCAGTAGCCGTTCCTCGTTTGACGTAGAAGAAATGCCCGATGGCAGCGAAGCCTGGGGTGAAAATAAGTGCGGTGCCCAGGCCTCCAAGTATGCCAAACACTAGAACGAAGTGCCAATAGGCTGTGCAGACTCCGAGCAAGAATGTGCTCAGCACAATGAGGATACCGCCCGCGAAAACTAGCCATCTTGGTCCATATTGATCAAAGACAGGCCCGATGATGAGGCCGGCGCCGAAGGCGAGAAAGACGTAGATGCTGATGATCCATCCAATTGTGCTTTCGGTGTATGCACGAAGTTGGTTTTCGGCGAGGTAGCTCTGATAAACACCAATAGTGTTCATAATGCCAAGCGCAGCGAGAAGACCGCAGAAGGAGCCAAACACCACGAGCCAGGCACGAAAGCCTCCTTCGGGGTACGTCTCTCCATGTGGGCCTACTGAAGATCTGGTCGTGGTCCTGGCCATCGAGTGACGGTGAGAGCCGGCTAGAGAGGCGGGAGCCTCATGGTCGTCGGCATGGCATTTCTCCTGCTGAGAAAAGACTGCTTCATCTACAGCGCTTTCAACCGGCGATGAGCCCTGGGACGAAGACGCGTGTGAACCTGAAGGCTCGCATTTCTCCGGTTTGTCGATTCTGGGAGGGAGTGGATTCGTCGTAGTGGCGAGCGAGGCGTTGCTCTCGAGTTGATGTAGTCCTGGCTTGCTGCCTTTGGATTGCGCGCTCATGCGCTCCGATGTCAAGTACTAATGTGTCCGTGTCCGATTGTGCTGTAGAATGCAGCGCTCGGAATGCAAGAGTTGATGATTGCAAATCTTGGTGGGTAGCATAGAATAAGTACATACATGCTAGACTCACCGCCCAGACCCCAGCGTCCGGCGCCCAATCCACCGGTTTCGAAGATTGCGCTCGAGAGCGAGTGCCAGGTCGGGTTTCCGCACTAGTGCTAGCGGTCATTGAATAACCTTCCGCCACTGCTAGAAGCGGTTTAGTTACATAAAGATCGCGGTACAGGTTGACCCTCGGCGGGCAAATCGTAACCGCGATATTATGCTTCGTAGGCATACTATTTATCGCCTAGTTGTATCTATATATAGTCGTAGTTAATGCGGCTATAACCTAATAGTTACCGCTTTTAACCTTACTAAATACCGTACTCTTTTATATAACTGTCGACTAGTAAATATAGTACTATTCTTCGTAGCTCCGCTACTATAGGTATACGGTTAGTTTAGATACTATAATATCGATAATATATATCGAGAAGTTAGCGCTCCGCTAGCGTTTAAAGATATAGGTAGGTAGATACCTCGAGAGGTACGAATATAGCGCTTTCTACTAGAGCTGCCTTCGTTCGTAGTAATAGATAGTTAGAGTAGATTAGCACTATAAAATCGACTTAAAGACTTCTATATAAAAGGAATGCAATATCTAGTATTTAAGCTAAAGGCAATATAGACTAATTAGGCTTAAAGGTAGCGTTCTTAATCGCAGGCGATAAACCTAGAGCCTATTAGTAGTTAGCGACTCGATAGTAATAGTATTAAGGTGCCTTATACTCTAGAACGTAGCTTAGAGCTTACTTCGTCTTAATTGTTATTAGAATCGACTCCTACGCCGATACCGAGAGGTTAGCCTACTACTATAGAAACAGATAATAAGGAGACGCCGAAGGCGTAGAAGAAGCGGACTTAGTCGCTATAGAAGCGAGCGTATAGTCTAATACTATCGTTAGCGGCTAAATAGCGCGCTCCGAAGGTAAAGAAGAAGAATAATGGTACTACGAGTAGTAGAAAGTAGAAGTCTAGCGCTACGGATAGTACTATAATAGCTAACTTAAACGAAGGTAATAAGGAAGGAGAGGGAATAGGTACTTCTAAAGGTAGTAGAATAGGCACTATAGACGACGATTATAAAGCTAATAATAGTAGTAAAGATATCGATAGTAAGGACGGCGGTAAGGACGGTAGTAAGAATAGTAGTAAGGGCGAACCTAGCCTCGAGAATAATAGGTCTCCTATTAAAGAATACTACCCTCGTTTCTACCTCGATAGTAGCTTATCTCGTATCTACCTCTTCGAGATTATCGTTACTAGGGCTAGGTAGTATTCCGAGATACCTCTTGTCTAATTTTAGAAGCTTATTCGTAAGGACCTCGTAGAGGCGAATATAATAGTGCCTTCGTATATCGATCGGATAATATTTAGTAATAGTATAGGTCGGAAAGGCTTCGTTAGGTAGCGTATAGATCTATTAGGTAGGTATTATTATTCTTAGCTAAAGATGTCTAACCGCGAAGAAGAGCTCCTTAATAATATTATTACTATACGAGACGAGCGTAAAGCGAAGCTAGAAGACTAGTACAAAGTCGACGTTATATATTAGGCGTAAGAGGCTACAAAGAATAAGATAAGAATAGCTGCCCTTAGTTAGTAGAAGACACTCGGATAGGAGATAGAGACATTATTACTTACTAGCAAGAATAGGCCCGGAGGTGTCGAATTAGCATGCGTAAGGCGCGCTAATATTAGATCTGTTCGTGCTTCCGGCGCTATATAAGGTGCTTTGTATATAGAGTAGCGTATAATAATAGAAGGGTTGTAGAAGACATCTAATTTAATATTATTATAGGGCGATAAACAATACTTAGAGATACTAGTAGCTTCTTATAAGAAGTTAGCTATTATCTAAGACGCCTTTGCCGCTATAACCCGCATCGAAGAGCGCAAACTCGAGGCCGACCTTGCATAGATAGAGCGCGAGAATAACAATACTATCGCTATATAGAAGTTAGCTAATAATATAAAGGAACGTAATAAGATAAGAGACAAGAAGGAAGCCGAGCGTAAGGAAGTTAGGAGGCAGGAATAGGTCGAGCGTAACAATACGCTCGATAATAAGCTAAACAAGATAAGTAGTAATAATAAGGACAGATATAAGAAGCAGGACGACAAGTTAAATGCTATATTAGAAGGGCTAAGGAGTGGTTTCGGTAGGTAATTTGCGGTTTAGGCATTAGTAGTAACTATACGATGTTTAATACAAACGCTAGCATTTCGAATGTCTGTATTTTCTAATAATTAGGTAAGCTTCTCGATGCTTAGTATACGCACTCTTTATATTAGTTATTTCTCGTATACTACGAGTCCCGTAGAAAGCATATAATACCGATACCTAAACTAGGTCTTAGTATTCCGCTATACTATTAGATTTCTACTATCGACTTTATACTACCTTTATTATAATAATAACTACTATTATCTATTACTAGGCACATTTAGACCTAGATATTTATTAAGCGTCGGCGCCCTATGTTAGGATACGCTCTATAGAGCGGAGACGGATACGATTCTAGTATGCAAAGATAATTGATTGTTCGTTAGTTACTAGCCTAGGAAACTATATACATTAATCGTCCTAATCTGCGGTAGGATCGACAGTATCTAGAGCAGGATCGGCCGCACTACTATCTAAACCGTAACAACCTCCCCCCTAAAAGGAAAGACTTGTACGCCCTCGTATATAATATGCCGCCTAATGCTTCTTAGTACTGTATCTGCTAATGCTAATGCTTATGCTATTTGTACTATATCCTGTTAATCGTATACTAATACTTATACTAATAGGTAACTTCTGTACTATATCCTATTAGTCGTATGCTAATGCTTATGCTAATAGATGCTTTCTGCTGCGCTTAGGGGTAGATAGCGACCCGTCGTCGGCCTAGGCGTTAAGGGTATCGCGCTTGCGCTTACGCTTCGACTCTAGGGTCTCCGTAGAGGGCTCTAGCCGAGTAACGGTCGGTGCAATAGTAGCCTTCTTACGGAGGACGTGTAGATCTATCTCCTTAGCGATACTATTATATAGGCCTATAACCTTAGCTATATGCGCCGCCGTCTCGTAGGTAGTGTCTAGCGCCGCGTTAGGCATTATCTTCTCCGTAAGCTTACTAAAATCGATTAAGCCGTCGCTATAGCGGGCGTCTAGGTCTAAAGTATATTTGCCTAGGTATCGATCGGTTACCTCCTATAGGCCGTTAATCTCCTCTTCGGTAGCATTACTAATGCTACCGCCGAGAATTACTAGCGAATCGGCCGGAACTAAGGCGACGGTAGGTAGGTTGCCGGTAGTATCGCGGAGAAAATCGTCCGCGAGGAGCGCTATGTTTTGCTTACCGGTCTAAAGCGCGACCTATACTGCTACGCGGTTCTAAGCGGCCGTTACTAGCATTGCATCTCTGCTATCCTTTATCTGCGCTATAAGGTAGTCGTAATACTTAGCCTATCGATATGCGAGAAGTGCGTTCTAGTTAAGGGAGCGGTTAGTAAGCATCGTCTAATTAACTACTAGTTGTAGGCGGCCTCTAGCGCCGCTTAGAGCGTAGGGAGGCAGGGTCGGAAGTGGCGGCAATTTAAGGTCTACCTACTCGATCGCGCTAGTAAATATAGCGGTATTTTCGGTATTATTACTCTCCTTACGCGACGGCGGCGGTAGTAGCGGTATACTATAGTTGCTATCTACGCGTAGTCGTATACGACTTAGCTTATCGGCCTCTAGCTATTTGTTAACGCGGCTACCTCGCGACCCGTTGTTTTAGCTCCGCGACGGAGGTAGGGCGGCCTAAGGCAGAATCTTGCCGAAAGTAACGGCGTTCGTAGTGTTACCCTTATCTAGCTTATAGTTATCGTTAGGAATAAGGTAGGAAGACACCGGGTCCTACGTCTCGTCGACGTTATACTAACGAGCGCTCTCGTTACGATCCGCGAGCGAATTAACTACGTTATCTCTCGTAGCTGCCGGTACGAAGGCGTTAGGTACCGGTTGCTTGTTTATCTTCTTCTTAGGCTAGTTCTTTAAGATTCCTAAGGGCACTCTAAAGCTAGCAGGTAGGTTCGCTATAATCTTGTCTATATAGGCCTTAAATAGGTTACTTATATAGTCCTTATCTCTAAAGGATAGCTATACGATCGCGTCCTAATCGACGGCGATCTTCTTATCGAGAGTAAGTATAGGGATCTTCTTAAGTTTAGCCTCGGTATAGCTTATATACTCGCGATATCCTACTAGAACCTAAGGATATCCGTGCGATTTATATGTTACCGTATCGTCGTATATCTTATTAGAGTCGACTAGGTCGGCGGTATAGCCCTCTCCTCGTAGGGAATAGACGCCGTATACGCAGATATAGCGCTAATAGTGATCCTTAACGTCCTAAGTAACCGCCGGTTTGCCTAACTAGCGACGCTGCGGCAATAGGAGACCTTAAGCGTTAAACGTCGTTAACTAGTGTCGCTGCAGCTATTCGGCGCTAATAAGGCTAGCGACCTTTATATATATTAGTATATAGACGCATTAGTCGCTAATTTGCGCGTTTTCTAGAGGGAAGCGAAGCGTAGAGAGTCGACCTATAATAGGGTCGAACAGGAATTAGTAGACTAGAGTGTTAGTAAGATCGGCCTTACTGCCCTTTTCCTAGGCAATTCTCGTACTAACCTCGCGGTCGACGCCTCGGGTACGATAGATAATATCCGAACCGTCGACGGCGCGGGTATATAGGGCGGGGCGTCCGTTGCCTATAATAGCGACAATATAGTCGAACGGAAGTGTCTCTTCGACCTAGTTATAGGCTGCAATAAGCGGGAGCGCTAGTAGATACTATATGTTTCGCACAAATTAGCGGACGGCGAGACCGATCGCGCGATATCGTAGAGGCGGTAGTTACGCGAAGAAGCGGTAGTCGGTTAGAGGCTAATCGTCGACGGCGTCCGGTCCGTAGCGCAAGTACGCG